ATGGCGGTAATACGTTGACATGTTTGATAATTCATAGTTGGAAATCTTATGGAATTGTTTGTGTCAAGAAGGTTGAAATCTTATAATTGTTGTGTTAAGGTTGTTTTTCNTAACCCCCCCCCCCCTCGCTATGTTCCTGTTTAATGATTGTTTCTTGTTTATTTTTTGTTTAAGGTTGTGTTCCTGCAGTTGTGTTACCGTTTTCTGCAGCTGGTTCAAACAACTTATGCAATGTTATAGGTAAGGTGATTAATAATATTACAGTTTGTTTTTCTATAGAGCTACCTTTTGTTCATGGATTGTGAATAAAGGGTTAATGCACTGCCCCGAGTTGTATATGGTGTCATAACTGCATGAGCAGCTGCCATAACCACCGAATAAACCACCGTGTGAGCGAAGCGAACGAGGTGGTTTATGAGGTGGTTATGGCAGCTGCCCATGCAGTTATGATACCATATACAACGAGGAAAAGGCAGTGCATTAAAATTATTATCATATAGCCTATCCAAACTGTCAATCAACACAATTCCTGTTTGAAATACAACAGCTTTAATATATATACATACATAAAAATACATTCGAATATATTATACGCTTTAAAACAAATATCGATAATTTCATTTAATGCAAATTGTAGTTTAAATGAAGCTAAACAAAAAAGTTTATTGGACAGAAAAATGCTACAAAGGTTTACAGAAAGAGTCGCATGCCCCTATACCCTATAACATAATGGTATCAGCCATAACACGACATGTGCTGTTATTCCGCCATAACACCACATGTGCTGTTATCGGGAAATAACAGCACGGGTATCCGGGCCTCTGATTGGTCCACGCCGTCGGGCTATATGATAATATATTATAAACTGCTGAGAAATGGAGAGAAAAACCCTCAGTTCTGCTTTTTACTGTTTATTTTTTCATGTCGAGCATTGATGCCAAATGTTCCCATTGGCAGCTACTGTGTGTTCAGTTATTGTCATACATTGTACAATGTGCACTAAAAGATAAAATTAATATTAATTGTACTCTACTGTTTATGGAGAAGCCTAAATGTTGTAGTAAGAAATTCAAGTATGTACAGCATTAAGAGAGGTTCTATGTACAATAGTTATTGTGAAATAATGAGGAAATATGTAAATTATGATGGCCTTAATCTGCATTAGCTGAGCCCCCACACCCATGTGATGCTGTGGAAGCATGTTATACTACTTGTACATGTAGCATGGTTAGTAGGTATACCAAGTTTGTCGGGACTGCAAACAGATCTCCAATGTTGGTACCAGCTGCAGTACGCATACTTTTGTCTTTTGAATACAATAAACATGCAACACATGGCACAGTCTTTGTCAGGAGGTGTTCTTTGTAAAGGCAGTCTGCCTATATCTATATACCACCAGTAGTTGGATTTACAAATACCAGATATCGTGGATATTAAGCTCAGTATGCCCTTGAAAGACACCCAGCTTGCAAATCCTATGGCAGCATTCTTCCTTAGGCCACACCAATTCAATTTGTTGATTCTCGGATTTTTTTCAGGAAAAATATGAAGCGACGGCGAAAAAATAAAAACAGGTCTAGGTAAACTATTATAGCCCCAAATGCAATGATAGGAGCCATGAAGTCAACACAAAAGGCTGGGTTAATATTTAAACAATGAATTTTGAACTTTTAATCAAACCAATACATTGATAGATGGAAAAACTAACAACTAGGAAGGAAAGGACTTTCCCTAACAGTTGGGGGCAAAATATAAGCATTTTTGAGCTGATTCAGAACCACAATCTTTCTTTTTTTGGAAAATCAGAAAAAAATGAAGAGGTGAATCCGAGAACCAACAAATTAAATTGGTGTGGCCTTATCTAATTACTTAACATCAGATCGTGATACGAAATGGCCAAATCAGATCAGTGGTAGTTGATCGGAAACCAACAAATGTGCTTATGAACATATTTCTCTGTCTGCAATGACCAGTACTACAGGCACAAAAGACCTCAAGCCAACATTAATAGATTTTTTCCTGATATTTTGTTCTTCCTCTTGCTCCAAACTTTCTGAGCAGAAATTTAATTCAAGTGGCCTGACCCCATGGACGAACAAGAACCTTTAGAGTAGATTTCTGCCTCAGGTGTATTGAAGGTTCACTTTCTACTAGTACAATGTAGTAC